TACTGATTTCCACACTCATGTGTATGTCATGGGGGGATCAATACATCTTATTAACTATAAAAATTATTTTATATTGAATATGTATCAAACGGTTACAAACTTCAACTCAGTATTTATTATTAGGATCAAAACGATATTAGAGTTAAAAAATTCTCTCATTCTCCATTTTTTTTTTAAATACTATTTAAAATATGGTAAGTTTTTCACATCGCATTTTTTCAATTACAATAAATTTCTAACAGCATCGTAGATGAGACAGAATTATAATCCAGATTATTTTTATTTTAATTGATTTTATAGAAAATAATGATAAAGCATTGAGCTTTATAAAAGTAATCTGATTTTTAAAATAATGCTGTTTAACTGTTTATGTTCAATGTTGCATGAATCAAGATCTTTAGCTTTTTTTTTTAACAAAGTAAACATATCGCACAATCTTTTCTCAATAATTTAATGCTAATAATAGTGTTTTCCTTTTTTTATCGCAGGCAGTAATTGTTTATGAAATCAAAACGCGTACGACTTGGCGAAAAAAGGTTAACGCCAATTGGCGCAGCTTTCTATTTCAACGGAATACACGGAAAAACATATAAAATTCAATTATTTGTAAAGGGTGATTCCAGTAAATAGTGTCACAGTATTTAATACATTTTGATACTAATAATACATGCTGAAAATGTCATATACGGCGGCAATTTTCTTATACAATATGGCTGAAACTTTCCAACCAATTCAACAGAGATAGTAAAATGACAAAAATACTGAAAATAAAATAATAAATCATGCAGTTTTAACTTACCTATGAAAGGTTACAAGTCCTCCTTTCACGAAACTTTCTTTACATCCGTAGGCGCTGCAGCGAATAACCATTTTTACATAAATTTTATGTGACTAAGCAGAGCAGCAGTCTTTCGTCCCATAGAAAGCAATGTAAAGTATTCCCGCACTTTCGGAATTCGTGCAGCAGTCATGTGACACTAATGTTGGAACCGGTTGAAGATTGCAATACGCTCTCTACCAGTATATTATCTCGTTGGTACAAACCAGTCATCCCAGCTTCACTTCGATTAAGCATTTTGAACGAATTACACGACGCGAAAACAGCGGGTCATTTAGGGGTCAGAAAAACTTTAAAAAGGGTACGCGAGGCGGTATATTTCCCGCAATTATACAAAATAGTAACTGCGTATGTCAGGTCCTGCAATCAATGTCAGTTAATAAAGGATATTAATTACAGCTCAGCCGGGTACTTAAATAGCATTCGCGCTACATTTCCGAATGAAATTTTAGGCATAGATCTTCTTGGTCCTTTCCCCCAGAGTGAGTTAAATAAAAATCGTTTTCTTTTAGTAATTTTAAATCATTTTTCAAAATGGACAGAAATTGTTCCACTTAAACGCGCGTCAGCCAAAACAGTCGCAGATGCATTCTTACACAGATACATTTTAAAATACGGTGCACCGATAAAAGTCATTAGCGATAACGGTAAACAATTCGTTAGTCAAATATTTGAAAACATATGCACTCGACTTGGCATACGCCATATCAAAATGGTTCCGTATAGACCACAGGCAAACATAGCAAAAAGAGTTAATAAAAACATTGTAAAAATAATTCGAAGTTATGTTAGCACACATCACAAGCGCTGGGTTGGCTACATAAATGAGTTAGCTTATGCTTTAAGAACAGCAAATCACGATACTACGGGAAAAACCCCAGCAGAATTATTTTTAGGACGAAAGTTAATTACGCCATTAGATAAATTATTCTTTGTGCAACAAAGAGAGCAAGAATTTAAACAGAAAGACGTGCAAACAGTTATTGACCAGGAGGTTAAAAGCTCGGATACGGCAAGAAATAGGCAAAAATTATATTATGATACAAAACGCCGTGAAGCAGATTTTAAAGGTGGGGATAAAGTGTTGAAGCGGAAGTTTTCTTTATCAAGTGCCTCAGACAATTTTACTGCAAAGTTAGCTCCAAAATTTGAAGGCCCCTATGTAATTCAGGAAATCAAGGGAGTCGTATTGTACCTTAAGAACGAGAGAGGGGAAATTTGTAAAGCAAGTCCCGACCAGGTGAAAAATATATATCAATCAAATGATTTTGAAATCCTTAAAAGTTTCTTTCAGGACTCAAGCGTAAAAGAAGTAGAAGGTCCAGAAGTAACGTCACCCGTTCCACCACCCAAGAAGCAGAGAACTGAAGAGAAACCTAATCCTTCTACAACCCATACGACGGTACCAAAAAGAAGAAATAAAAACAGTGAGACTCCAGCATTTAAGAAATAGAAGAAAGCAACGCCGCGCGTAAACACCACTTGCAACGTATCGCAGTAGAAATTGCTCATCGAGGAGAACGCTTCCAGGGCCAAAGAGTCAGGTGCAAACAAGGCCGCCGTTCCCGAAAACGAAAAGACAGCAGGAGGAACGGAAAGACCACCACCAACAGAAGAAATTCAAGCATGACTCCAGACGGAGGACGCCAAGACCAGCCGTCCAGGGGAAAAACGGAAAAGACAGCAACCCGACGACTACCACTCCAAGAGGCCAGCATGCAGAGGGTGAAATAGAAAAAGTAACGTGGACGACACTCGGAGGACACTAAGGAGAAGACTGACGTCCATGAAACCTATAACGTGGGAGCAGTTCTGCCAGAAAAGGATGTCGGAGTTTCAATAATCAAAAACTCAAATATAAGTTAAAATCTTCTATAATTTTCTTTTTTCTTTTGTTCCGAAATGTTATGCGTAAATACGAAGTTCTATGTTTTGACGGAAGTCAATGTGTCTCGGTTGAGACTTAGTTTTGTTTTACTTTATTTAGCTAAGGCAAAAGTGTTATTTTCTTTAAGTATAAAATCTAAGAACAAGCAGTTTCTGTTAGTCGAAAGACTAATTCTGTTATGTTAAAGCCAAAATTTGGCCGAAGATAAAAGTAACTTCGTATTCTTGTATTAATAAGAACTTTACTTTCAGTGCCGCCAGCTTGGCGAAGAATGAGCAAAGTAAAAATTTACTTTCTCTTATTCATTTTATGGTAAATTGTAAAAATCATATGTATTAGAATTTTGTAAATATACGTAAATAAATAAAAGTTATGTAAAAGTAGAATTTAGTCTAGAAGCATAAAATTTTAGATGCTAAAAGTAAATGCTCAAAAGCAATGAATTCAAATTTAAGTATTAAACTGTAGATAAAATCATGCTTTAGAGCGAAAGCCTGCATGTCTAAAGATGAATGAGGGGGAATCTAGAATGAATGTGTTTTGTAGGGTTCTCCACCTACACTTGAATTTTAAGAATGTTAAAGTAATTCATAGAGTTGTAGAATGTCGAGTAAGGTGTGTCTATTTGGTCGTGGTTAGGGGAAGTGTTGCAATACTAAAACACGAATATTCCCGTTTGACACCACACATGGTGGAGAGCCAGGGTAAAGTTAAATTCATGTTTGAATACTTGAATGAATGTGAATTAAGCAGTAACTAAGGAAAATAAATCGTTCAAAAACAAAAACTTATTCAGTGTCAAGAAAGTGTAAATTATAATGTATTTAGAAAGATACTGATACTTATTCCTTCCAGACGCTGAAAGGAAGAGAACAGATTGATTGCTGAAGTCCAGGAAAAGTTGCTGTAAGAAGAGAGAATTAAATAAGTATATACAGAAATTTATTATACCTTTTGTGAGATAACAGATTTTTTTATGTAAACGAGGCTCTTAAAATTTAGTTCAGAATTGTAGAAACTTTTCAACAGGTCGTTTGTAGGACCTGCTTCCAAGTTTACCAAATTCTAGCAGCGGCAAATGTAGGGTTTATATTTATTTTAACTAAAATTTATTTTAAGTTTAAACTATCTTTCCTGTCAAGCCTTACTTTCACCTGGAATTGCCAATGCCAGAGTATGTAAATTTTAGTAAAACGCGCAAGGATTCAAATTATCAGCGGAAGTATTCTGAGTTAAATAGAAAGGAAACGAGTTCGAAAGTGTGCTTTCTTGCTTCACGAGCGTGGAGGTGGCTAGTTAGAAATTGAAGAACCACGCGTTTCGGCCTGTGTGCTTGCCTCGGCAGTTTGTTAATCTTTCAACGTAATATTCAGAGTTTGCTGAATTATCAGCGGTATTTTAGAACGCGGGGACGTTAGTTACGTTTAGATAGCCTCGTAGTTAGTCACTTCTTATTATCAATTTTCTTCGTTTCTTATTTTTATTTTACCGCCGTGTCGGCGTAGTTTATGAGCGTCAAGAGCACGCATTTGTAATTTCTAAAGTTGAATAAAAAGGGATTTAAACCCTTCTCAAGACTTTGGTCTCCTTTTCCAGTTCTCAGCAGTCACCACTATTGTTGCGTGCAGGTTGGAAGCGCGCAACGTTACAAAGTTATTGTTTTTTGGTAAGTTCAATAATCAATAATTATTATATAGCTTACCTTGAATTTTCATCGACTTATAGTTACCTGGAAATACTTGAATTTGATACAGTAAAAAGAGTCAAAGAATTGAATAATATTTTGACTTTATCAGTTGTAAGAATTGCTTACAATGAGTTCATTCTTTCTTAGCATCGAATACAAGTCATTTAGTTTTATTTAATCTGTTGCCACAAACACATGGCAAAATTAAAAAATACATTACGAATTAAACATCTGGAGCGAGGACAGCGCAATCTATAGAAAAAATAAAATAAGGCATAAACATTTTTAAAACTGAACATTTCTCCCACATTATCCCGGGCTGAACACTCAAGTTCAGAAATGACTACTTAGGAAGAGGACAGCATTTGGAAATTGGACGTCGATAAAGTCAGTTGACGTTTTTACTTCAACAATTCGAACGACTCCGTCTTTCTGAAAGAAGAAGAAGGAAAAACTTCTGTGATTATTCCAACATTCACTTGAATATTGTTTGCACGCAAAGTCCACTTTTCTCGTAGTTGTAGTTGATTCAGACATTCCTTCTGCCACCTTGACCAAAACTGAATATGAAGCTGTTGAATCAGATGCTATCTTGACTTTAAGCAAAGAGACTTTGTTGAGCCTTTCTCAGGAAAGGAAGTTACAGGAGCACCTATTAAAAAAAGTCCTGGAGTAAGCGGTTCTAAATCCTGAGGATCTGAAGAAAGAAGAGTCAGTGCCCTAGAATTCAGACATGCTTTAATCTGTATTGCTAGAGTAGTAAAGTTCTCAAAAGTTAAGATAGCTGACTTGCAAACATTCAATAAATGTTGCTTCGCAGATTTGATTCCAGTCTCCCACAGTCCTCCAAAATGTGGAGCTGAAGGTGGGATAAAATGCCATACAATAGATTCTTGAGCTGCAAAGTTTTGAATTTTAGCAGAATTGAGAAGCACTGATTGGTCTTTTATGTAGGTTGCTGCACCTCGAAAATTCGTTGTGTTATCAGAATACAGATTTACAGGCCTTCCACCTTTAGACATAAACCGTCTTAAAGCCGCTAGAAAGGCATCTGTTCATAAGTCTGAAACAACCTCGAGATGAATTGCTTTAGTGGCAAAGCAAATAAAAAGAGCAATGTACGATTTAATTCTGACTCTGCTGCGTGTCATATTAGGTTTTGTAATGAATGGTCCACTAAAATCAAGTCCAACGTTAAGAAATGCTCTTCCAACACTAAATCTATTAGAAGGCAAGTCTCCCATGATGGTATGGCATGGTTGCGACTTCAGTTTTAAGGAAGTCAAATATTTAGATAGAATTCGTCGCACTGCTTTAGATAGAATTCGTCGCACTGCTTTAGATAGAATTCGTCGCACTGCATCTCTTCCAGAGGGTATCCAATACTTTTGACGGATACAACACAAAGTAAGGAGAGGATAACTATGTAAATGCATTTTGTGATAATATTGTATCAACAAAGTAATGAAATGATGATTCTTTGGCATACGAATTTGATGTTTTTAATTGTGATCTAAGTTCGAGTTTGTTAACCATCCTCTTATTCTAATAATTCCCTCTCCATCAAGAAAAACATTCGTTAGAATCAGTTTACTGTTTTGAGGCAAGGAAAGTCTCTTTTGTAAGTAGTTGTGCTCAAGGTTGAATTCTGATTTTTGAATGAGCTTAATTATAGATTTAGTTCCTTCTTCAAGCTCTCCATGTGATAATACACCTTTGATTTTTTTATTCTGAGCTTCTATTTTGCAATTTCTAATGAATCTGAAACACGACAAAATTATTCTAATGCATTTTGAAAACGATGAGTATTTTGAAGTAATTTATAACATAGCAGTAACTTCAGGTGTATCTGAAATGGTGATATTAATTAACAAAAACGATTTCATTTCTTTGCATCTGATATCATCTACACATGCTTCCTGTGGATCTCTAGGCATATTATGCTGATACAACCATTGAGGACCATGCCACCACAAAGTGTGACGTTTCCTTTGTAATGCAGAAATACTTCTGGAGGCACAATCTACTGGATTTTCTTGACTTTTCACGTAACTCCATGAAGCTTCTGAAGTTGAGTCTTGTATGTTTGATATTCTATTAGCAACAAAACTTTTACACCTTTGAGGAGATGAACTAAGCCAATCTAAAACTATTTTTGAGTCTGAATATAAAATAGTCTGATCAATGTGAATATTCTTCCTTAAGGAAGTTGAATCTTCTTTATAGGGTCTAGAAAAAAGAAGCGCTGCACATAGTTCTAGTCTTGGCAATGTTAGTGTCTTTACAGCAGCAACTTTTGCTTTTGAAGTAATCAATGAAACGTGGAATGTTTCACTTTCGAATATTGTTCTTAGCTAAAACACTGCAGCTCATGGGCATGTTCAGACGCATCTCAAAAGCAAATTAACTGAATATTTTTAACAGAATTGTTTTTCATCATGAATCGTGAAATCTTAATTTCAGCTAAATGTTCTATTGAGATTTAAAGAGATTCCATGCTTGGGAAGTATCATTAGATAATAAATCATCCCATTTAATATTTTTCTACCATAAATGCTGCATTAAGATTTTTAATTGAATCGTTATAGGTGATAAAAACCCAAGAGGATCATAAATTTTCGCGATAGTTGACAAAAGTTAACGTTTTGTTAAAACACCATTCATAGATGGGTATTCTAATTCTGAATACATCTTCTTTAGCATCCCAAATGATTCCTAGAATTGCATGGATTTGACTTTCTTCACTCTGCCAAAGGTCCGTTCGGTTTCTTAGTTCTTGGCGTAAAAATTCAATGACTGACGGCTTATTAGATACCCATTCTCCTATTGGAAAACCGCCTTTGTTCTTCATTAATTCGATAATTTATGAGACTAACTGTTTTGATTATTCTTCGTTCCTGTGAAAACATCATCTACATAGGTATCTTCCAGTATGGGACTCTCGAAGCTTCTGAACTCGTTTGTAACTTCTTCTCGAAACTCGTTTGTTTTTCTATGGCAAGTTGTGTTAATGTCCGAATAGCCAAATATGGAGCACAAAAAGTGCCATACGTAACTGTCAGAAGCTGGAATTCTTTAAGCGGTTGTTCAGGATTTTCTCTCCAAAAGATTCTCTAGAAATAAACGTCATTTTTATTGACTAGGATTTGTCGGCACATTTTCTCAATATCTCCAGTAGTGCTACGCAATGAGTTCTAAATTTCAATAGGATGGCAAACAATTCATTTTGAAGTTTTGGACCTGTATGGAGAACATCATTTAAAGAAACTCCTGAGTCAGTCTTTCCAGAACCGTCGAATACAAACCGTAATTTGGTAGTTTCACTTTTATCTTTAGTAACTCCAAAATGAGGTAAATATAAAAACTATGACGCTGATTTTGAAACATCAACATTTGGAACAATTTGCATATGATTCATTGTTTGATATTCCCGCATGAAATGTATGTATTGAGTTTTAAGTTCTAGATTCTGTTGAATTTTTCTTTCCAAGGAAAAGAACCGCTTCTTAGCTTGATTTCTTGAATCACCCAATACAGCTTAACTCTTAAACGGGAGACTGACAACAAATCTAATATTAGAATTTCGACTAGTGTGATTTAAATAAAATACCTCGACATCTTGCGCTTCATCATTCAGTGTACTTACTTCTAGAAACGATTCAACTTCCGAGAATTTTTTCATTAAATTTCAATGTGTACTAAAGCATGACAATGGATTAAAGAATTCTGAATTCTGTTTGAAACGGACACCCTTCCTGAAATGAGCCAACCCAATTTTTAATTTAGAGCGGATGGTTGGTTTTGATTTTCCCTATCTTTCCAGTTTGAATTAAATCTAAGAATATATCCGCACCAGAATGATATCAATCCGTCTACTTATGTGAAAAGAAGGGTCTGCTAATTTCAATCCTTTCAAGTGAGGCCAATTGAATTCTGACAGATCAAAGTTTGTTAAATTTGGCTTCAGCTTTTTGACTGCTAAAGCCTTAACAGAAAAGTTTTCGTTATTAAAATGAGGAGTAAAATTTAAATTAGCTACTTTCGTAACATGTGCGGCAACTGTATCATTAAGTCCTAGGTAGTGTGTTCAGACTTTTGAAATGAAAGTTTTAGTCGATTACAACACGATTCAATGATTAAAGATGTTTGAGAATCACTATCAATTAAAGCACGGCATTTGAGAAACTGTCCTTGATTATTTTTTACTATTATTACAGCTGTGGTAAGTAAAATTAAATTAGAATTTTTTACATTTCCTGTGAAGGAAAACTGCTGCTCTTCCGAGGTACTAGCCGAAGGTTAATATAAAGGCTGATTTTGAGATAGACTATTTGGGGTAAACTGTACTTGACTTTCAGCAGAATGTTTTTTATCAGTTCGAAAAGCATGGAGAATTATGTGGCATTTCTGTTTACATGCCCTGCAAGATGCAGTGAATGGGCATGAGGATACACCATGATTTGGTCTCAGACAGTTAAAACAAAGGTTTGCTTTTCGTAAGAAGTTCCAACGCTCATCAATATTCATTTTAAGAAATTTCTCGCACTTATGTAAAAGATGTGGCAACTGGCAGAGCACAAGAATCCTGCCTTAACTTTACACTTATTTTTAAGAGCAAAGGTTTTGTTAATGGATTTTACTGATTTGTCTAATTTCCCTTTATGGCTCCTAGCTTGTTTTTCCAAAAACGAAAGAAAATTTTTGTAAGATGGAAATGTTTTATTCTCTAGTTTTAAGTGCCAGTTGATTATAAGTGAATCCTCTAGCTTATCTTGTAATGCAAATATTAGAAGAATTTCGACTAACTGATTGCATTCTAGAGCAGGTGTTTTAAAATTCCTAGTAACTTTATTGCATGTATCTATCATTGTTCGAATGAAATCAGATGTTGGTTTTACAAATTTTAAATTAAATAATTTTCTACCCTGAGAAAATCCTAATTCGCTTTGGTTATCATATCTGTCGAGTAAAGTGTCCCAAGCATTTTTATAATTTTCAGAGGTTATTGCGAATCCCCTAATAAGTTTTACAGCATCAGACGAAACTGCACTTTGAAGATATTGCAATTTTTTGAATGTCAGTTAAAGATACATTAGAGTCAACAGAACTTAAAAATATGGATTTAAAATTCAACCGGGATTCAAACTGGCCAGAGAACGTTGAAGATCCTATTTCGGAAGCTTTATATTCGCATAGGATGTAGCAGATTTTACCGTCTTATCATCATTGAACTGTGATTCTTTATTAAAAATGAATTTAGATATGTTTCTATTTTAAGTAATGATTCGTCTGCGGAATCCTGAGCCTCAGACAAATTTTTAAACTCAGATTCTTCATCAAAATCTTCAAGAATAGGACATCAATAATAATATTTCTCAAGCTTATTACTTATCTCAAGCTATCTTTGCAGATTTGATATTACTGTAAGAATTTTCTCTAAATTTTCTGATGCTAAACATCGTCAACAGTTCCAACAAATCTTCTAATCTGCTTGATTTGAGTTCGATACATTAACGGAACTGATGATTTCCTTTTTGACATATTTATTTTACTTTAAAGAATAAAACTATATACAGAACAGTTATGTACAGATGTCGTGCAAACTTCATATATTTAAAAAATGTATAATAGAAACCAGAGTTTAAGAATGAATTTTACATGAAAATAATCTGAATACAACTAAAACTTCCTTATAGTTTTTCATTTACAACATAAAAATGCATACTTCGATTTTTTTGTAAACCAGGTAACTTTAATGGAATGCTAGAATTGGATTTTCGGCTTTTAATATTACATATCTCGCCGGTACCTCCAATAATTGTTGGTAAGTTCAATAATTAATAATTATGAAATAGCTTATTTTAAGTTTTCATCGACCTGGAAATACTTGAATTTGATACAGTAAAAGGACTCAAAGAATTGTATATTTTGACTCAAAGAATTGAATATCAGCTGATAGAATTATTTACAATGAGTTCATTCTTTCTTAGCATCGAATATTAGTCGTTTAGTTTTATTTAAT